TTCATATATTTGAGGTATAGAATTAAAATGAATATAAATTTCTTTTAGACAGTTTTCAGGAAGGGAAAAATTAATTTGTTTTCTTGATGTTTGTTTTAGATTTATAGGAGGATTGGTCTTTCTTTTTTGGCCTTTAGTATTTTCATTAACAGTTTAGAAGCACATTGAGGTAAAACTGTTAGTTACTTTGATCAAATTTTGACTCAAGAAGAATATCAGGTTTAATTTTAGAGCACCTTATAACCTTCCAAACACGGTATGCTCCCATAAGTAGGTCTGTATTCTTTTAATGACACAAGGTAACACTTTTAGCCAGTTTGTGATAGCCTGCTACAGTTGGATTGTTTCCATTCATCCAAAGGCTTTCCACACGTTATTGAAGCATCCTGGTACCTTCTTTGAAGTCTAGTTGTGGTTCATAAAAAGTTTGGCGCACTTTAAAATATATGATTACCTTCAGAGTAATAACTGAGAAGAGGTTGTGTGAGACCACTTTATATGCATAAGTATATGTTTTTAGCTTTTACCAATAATTTTTCCCCTTTTTTAAAAATGTTACTAGGTTCAACCAGGGGTGAAGTTTTCAAAAAAAAGTAGAGGTATTCAGCAGGGTGAAGTGGACATATTTTTGAAAATGAAAAAAAATCTATGTGTAGACATAAAAAAACGACAATCTTAGTGTCAATGAATAACTGTTTTTGGTGAAACAATGGAATGCATCCGAAAAAAGCAGCTCAAATAAGTACCCGTACTAGTACCACCTTAAAAAATAAGTTCCTGTACTCGGTACTGGTGAGTACCGACAGAATTTCACCCCTGGTTTTACTTAATTTTTATCCTTTAATTAATATAAGTTTCTCTAGTGTAGCATAAAACCAGTAGTGATATGAAAGTTTATTGGTTGTATTGTCAGTAAAGGTATGTCTGTCTCTTGCTTGTTGAAAGTGATTGAGACATATAGAAGAGGTAACAGGTTGGTTGTTTACTGTAAAGGAAAAAAGTTGAGTATATATATATATATATTTCTTTTTTCAAGAAAATCTTTTTTTATTATTTAAAAAAGTACTATTGCAGGTAGACAAATAAATGTCATAATATAAAAAGAAATTCTTGGGCAACAACATTTATTTTCCCAGGAATTTTTTTTACAGTTCCCTTTATAAAATTTAAAACTTAACTAGGAAAATATTAAAAATTAAAACACAATCATAAATATACACATAGGCTGAACGATCAGTCATTTCTATTTTAGATCATGTGACTAATCGTCATATGCCTGAAAAATCGCACAACAATGATCTGGGGCTGTGAATAACAGTATTTTATAACAGTGATTTTGCTTTATAACAGCTATAGTATTATATCTTATCATTATTTAAGTATTATGTCCAGTATAGATGAAATTAATAAGTGTATTTACTCAGATTAAAATTTTTCTGTACTTAGCCAACCTGAGAAGTTCCTTTTAACATGGTTTGGTAATGCTCGTCTTTCACTAAGGCATGGTATTCTTTTTTACTTTGGAAAACTGACAATATTTTTTTCAGATGCTTGTTATCCTTCTCTATTAGGGAAAATGGACAAGCTTCTTTTACTAATATATATTATTTCTATGTTTCATTAAAAAGTCAAACTTCTTTTACAAAGATTTATAATTTCTCTGTATTTGTAGCAAATGTCGAGCTCTTTAGAATCGGGTCTAGTAGTTATCTCTTCTTGGTGAAAGTGGATTGATTTGGTTTTCACATGGTGGAAAATCATGGAGGAAGAATACTCTTATGGTTTTCAAGATAAATCATTCATCTTTGCATCACTGAAAAATGTGATTTTTTTTACAAGAACAAAGTTTTCTCACAAAAGAAGAAGAAAAGATTAAGTCCTAAAAGCAGTTGAAATGAAGTACATAAAAAATTACACTATTGATCATGATAGATAGATTGTATTATAAGAGAAAATCAGCTTACTTCACATACATACAGTTTGTAGATCTTAAAAGATGTGTTTTTGAGAAGCAACAATGTATTTTCCCCCTAGCAATGGATAATATGCAAGGTTTTTCTTGAAAAATTTATTTTAAACTTCTTGGAATGTTTTTTTTAAATTAATTTCAAAAATTAATCCTAGTAACTGACAATCATTTTTCATTCTTTACTGCGCATAATTCACTGACTTATTTCACTCATTCCTTGATGAAACTGACAAGCTTCTTTTACTCTAGTATTTTCCTCTGGTTGGTAATAGTAACAAGTCTTTTTAGCAAAGTTTAATACTTCTCTCTAATATGTAGAACTAACAACCTTCTCTCACTAACTTTATCATTTTGTTTTTATGGATAAAACTATAAAGTATCTTTGCCGAAGATTTAGTATTTTCTTCTAGTAGGTGAAAATGAAAAGCTCCTTCCACTGACATTTTGTATTTTTATTTATTTGTTGGAAATAACAAGCTTCTTCATCCTAGATTTATTATTGCTCTGTACTAGGTGAAACTAACAAGCTTCTTTCCCTGTGGTTTAATATTGCTGTGTACTTGGTGAAACTGACAAGCTTCTTTCCCTGTGGTTTAATATTGCTGTGTACTTGGTGAAACTAAATTGAAGAATATCTTCTCTAAGACTGAGTAAAATGTTTGTAGCTACAACTAGAGCTGGGTCATTAGCATCCCTGCTGTGTGTGTGTGTGTGTAGTACTGTTAAAATGCTGTTGGTTAGCATCCCTGCTGTGTGTGTGTAGTAGTGTTCAAATACTATTGATTAGCATTTCTGCTGTATCTCTGCACTATGTGGTAGTAAAATACTGGTATTTGTATTTGTAAAAATATAATGTATCCAGAGCCAGTATTAGATTAGCTGACTCTTTAAGCAGAATTATGCTGCACATCTACCCACACTGGAGCCTCCAATAATTTGACACCCTAGGCAACTGCCTATGTTGTTTTTCCTTAATGTTGGGCCTAATTATGTCTCCACTTTGTGGTTGTGAGATACAGCTTTATGTCTTGATCAAACTATATAAACTATCCCTGCTGTGTTTGTTAGTAAGTTACTGCTAGTTATATTCGTAAGAATAATGTAATGGTTTCTATGATGGGGCAAGTTCTTTTGGGTTATTCAGTAAAACATGATACAGATTCCAAATAATCAAAACCTTTTATTTCTTGTACTTTATGTTCTACCAGTTAGCTTTACTGATGTTCACTGATAGACCTAAATTCATATAGACACTAGCACAAGAATTTCACTTATTTGTTAATTTTCTTGTACATGTGGTACTTCTCATATCTCTTGCACTTTGTTGGAAACAAGTAAAATAATTATAAAACTGAAGTAACAGACAACTTGCTAACTTAGTAATCAAACAACACCTACTCTAGCTTAACTCACATTAACTTAAATCATTTATTAAACTTTCAAGAAAATTCCAGACATGGAACTATATACTCATCATGTGACATCAAAACATCTACTAGTCAACATTCATAAAAATGTCTAAATTAAAAGAATGACAACACTGCCAACAACAATATGCTATATGTTCACTTTCTGGTATTAGGGTACTGCTGGTTGTGTTTGTAAGAATATACTTGATATATTTCTGATGTTTGTGGCAATAAGATACTACTGACTGTGTTGGCAAAAAATATGCGAGCAACATTTCTATAATTTGTGTTAATAGGAAACTATTGGTTGTCTTGTAAGAATATGATAGCTGTATGTCTGCCATATGTGGTAGTATAATACTGCTGGTTGAGTTTGTATGAAGTGTGTTAGCTATACCTTTGCTGCTTGTAATAATTGACACAAATCAGTGTGGAAAAACATTAAGGAAATTAGATTATTATGGAAAGCTTGTTTGGAACTACAGGAAGGGTTTAATTAAAAATATTGTTATGGAATAATTATACATTATAATTATAATATTTTTTTTGTTCTGTGTCAGTTATAAAAAGTTTTTAGGTAATAAATAGTGTTGCTAACCTTACAATTTTGTTTATGGGCATACAGACAAACAGTGGTTTTTTTTTACTGACACTATAATTTTTGACTGCCATCATTAAAAGAAAACATTTTTTACTACTTATGGATTTATATACATTGTTAAAATGTTACTTTTTGTTGGCAACCTTGGTAATAAATCAAATCATTATTATAAGCAATCACTTTTTATGCTGTTAATTTCTACTTACATAATCGTTACACTCACGGGTGAAATTCTCAAAAAAAAGAGCTGGTACTCAAATGCACTTACTACAAAGGAATTTGTTCATATATGTAATTTATAATATAGTTTAATGATTTTTATAACAACCCTCACAGTGAGCACAATTGTAGGTTTCTTTTTGACAAGCTACTAAAACTGCTGGATTTTTTTCTCCATGATATTAAATTGTTTTTTTTGATAAGTTTAGAGAAACACATAGATATTAAACAGGCAACTAAACTAAAAATTTCATAACTTTAAACTCCCCCACCCTAGATGTTGTGTTTCCCACCAATTCCATTGAATCACAAATACACATTATCAGGGCTCCACTGTCATGGCAAGTACCAATCACAGCACCTCAGCCAATAAAATGTGTCATTTGGATATATTTATCATTACTGACTAATCATACAAATTACATAGCCAGATGTAGCTGTCTGATTGGCTTGATAATGATTTACCTTGAAGATGTTAAATAACTTATCCACATGATCTTGTTGCCAACAAGAACTAATATCATTTATTGGTTCATTTGAAGAATTTTATTGATTATTTAGATTATGTAAGTTGTGACATGTCTGCTTTCTAACATTATGATGGAACACATGTGGAATTGATGAAAAGCAGATCAACCAAGTTCAAGCACAGAGTACTGATAGAAATTCACTCCTGCTTACATTTTATGTGAATAAATAAGTGATGAAACCAATAAATCTGAATTATTCACATTGATAAGGGATGAGATAACACATTATGTTTGAACATGGTTCTTAGTTTTACTCTTTCTATCAATTTCAGGTGGGCTGATCAGCCCTTCACCACTGACCAATGGCACAGGGTCATCAACAAATCCAGCAGTGACCACAGCAGGAATGAATTCTGGTGTTACAAGCAGCCTATCACAGCAAAGCTTTCCTGGAATTCTTGCCAGTAATTTTGTTTCTCAAACAGTAAGTATTGTTGTAGGGGTTTAATGCTCATATTTCAAAGCCTGAAAACTAGGGAACACATCTGTGTGATTGTGTAAAAACAAATAGCAGACTATTAGACAGAAAGATTAGGAGGAAAGAAGAAATAATAAGATAACATAATATCAGATAAAGAAGGTGCAACAAGTGATAGATCTTAAATAGGAGTGTAGAATGTTGATAAGTAAAAAAAATAAGAGGAAGGCAACATAATATTATCTCCTCCAATATGATAGAAGACTTTTTTTCAATACTTAATCTTTAATTGTTATGCTCTAGGTTTTAAATTAATCAATGTTAACAAAAAAACGGATATCCATATAATATGATATATAAACCCTTTTTTTTTATGCTTAGGTTTCTCAGCAGCAGCATAACAGTTATCCACCAAACCATCCTCTTAGTGGGTCCAAGCATCTTTGCTCCATCTGTGGAGACAGAGCATCAGGAAAGCATTATGGAGTTTACAGGTACATAATAAAGAGAAGCATAGTTGGCTGAGTTTGTCTTCTCTGTCATATTAGATATTAATCAGCTTTAAATACTTTTGGTCTAGTATTTTATAGGCTTTATAATGATAAAGATACTGAAGACTGTTTTTTGTTTTATGAAATAATTTATAGGACCTCAGTGTCTACAGTGCTATGTAACCTCAGTAAGACTTCTTGTCCCCTGTATAAAGGAAAAAGACACAGTATGGATTTTGAAACAGTTTCAGCATATCAATTATAAATTATTATTGGTGTGAAATATAGAAAACTAAGATTACTGTAAATTAGGGTAGTAAATGGCTGCTTACTAAGGTAAGACTGTCACGTCTGAACTTTAACCAGTTGTTAGTAAGCAGAATTGGGTCTGTAAAGTGTGGTAAAAGTTATAGTTTTATTAGATTAAGTTTTAAAGTTGAAACTTAATTATAATGCATCATTTAGTACAGTAGTTCCTAACCTTTTTTGATCCCAAAATTTCATGGACCTCTTTGCACAATATTAGCTTTTTAAATTACTTTTATGTTACAGTTTAAAACAATATATTTTAAAACATTTTTTAGACCATCTTGCGAGCAGCTGAAATCTTACTTTCAACTGGCACTGGTTCCTGGACCAGTAGATGGGAACCACTGATTTAATAGACTCTGCATCCTCTTGCACAGTTCCAACACATCTATCAGTTCCTTTTTTCTTTTTGCAAAATGAGCATCTGATGATTCATCATGTGATCTAAATTGTAAATGATCAGTCATTTAAACTAGTTAATGTAAATTTGGTAGAGATGGCTTTATACCTTTAAAGTTCATGACATTTCACTTCAGTGTGGATTGTGGTCACTAAAATAATAGGGACTGCCTGGTACTGATGTTTACATGTTCAAAATGAAAATGTTGATAAGACCTTAAAGTATTCTCAACCACTCCTCCGAAAATGCTGTTTCCATGGCATCTTTAGAGTCTGGAGTCAACTTTATGGGATGCAAGGATCTCTCAAGAGCATCCCTTCATGTTGAATTTGATTGAAGCCTGATGCACATACAGCCATTCAATTTTATAAATCCCCTCATCTTTAAGGAATATGTCAAGTAGTTTAGCATAATGAGGTTGGTATTATCATTCACTAGGCTGAAATTAGCGCCAGTTGCATCAGCATAATGCAGTACAAAGAATTGTAGGATATGGTCAATAGAATGTGTCATTAATTGGACCATTCAACATGATGTAGAGGCCCATATGCCATTTGATGCTTGTTTTTCCACTCCATTCTTCCACTTTCACCATGTACATCATGTTCTTGTATGAAAACAGGGTTAAATCTGATTTGAGATTCTCTCTTTTTTGAGTGTAAGCCTGGTTTTTGGCTACAAGGTTAAGCACCATTGTATGTGTGTTGTTCTGTGTATTGCTGTAAGTGAATAACTTTTAGGTATCTGGAATACACTCTAACCTCATGCAGCCTGTTTCTAGCCATCTACACATAGATATGGCATCCAGTTGTGGCTATAGCTGGGCAACTAAATCGATTAATTGATTACCTATGAGCTTAAATAACGGTGATTAGTGTAAAAATAATCAAGTAATCAAAATTAATGTTTCAGATTATTACTGGTTTCAGTTATTCGAACTATCTAAGTGATTGAAATATTGCTTTTATCATTTCTCATTATTATTTTTGATTAATTCAAGTTGTCCAGCTTAATTGGTTTGTGTTACAACTTGTGAAAATAATCTAGTAATCAAAATTAATGTTTCTGATTTTTACTATTTTTGATTATTCCAACTATTCATGTCTCATTTGAGAATAACCAATTAGTTAAATGTACTCAGTTAATGAGCCTGAAGTTTAATCAATTATCAAATGTCACTACAGCAGTATTCTAACACTACTACTACACACAGCAGGTATGTTAACTAGCAATAGTTTTGATACTGTTACAAACACATTGAGAAATGATTCTAATCATCAATATTTTAGTATTAGTTCACACACCAACAGAATGAT